ATATAAATCTAATTATCAAATATAATATAATAATAAATAATTAAGAAAATATGCTAAAGTTCATTTGATAACAATACAAAGTATTTTCTGTTATTAGTCTCTCTAGTTAGTTATTCTCTTCAAAGAAGTAGAAATAATATAATAATATTTATAATATATTAAACAAAATATATTTTAAAAATAGTGTTTGTACTTGGGTTAAGTATTACTTGAGTTACTCATGAGTAATCAAATATCTGAGTAGTGATTATAGCTACTTAGGTAGAATTAATTAGATAATACCTGAGTAAATATAACTAGATAATATCTTAAAATAATTACTAAATTATAACAAAATACATAAATATATTTTACATTCATACATATAGTGTATATAGTTGATTCTAGTGATCTGATTAGTTAATAAAATTTATCTGAAGTAATTAGCAGAGAGAGTTTTCATTAGAACTAGACAAGGACTTTAGTACAACAATTTCAAGTTTTTGCACTCTTCTATTATCATCAATTTTTTATATACTATCTAATCAAAATACTGAAAATATAGAACTAAATCCTTCTTCACTAATATTTTCAATCTTATCTAGTTTATCAAAAAAAATCTATTCAATTACTTCTTTATACAAAGTAGCTCTAAATTGAAAGTCTTTTATAAAATTATCAATATCTTTATTTTAATTTGTCTATTCTTGAATTGTATTGTCAAGATTATATATATTATATCATACATTATTTGTATTATTTTATTATAATATTCATATTTTCTATATCTAGAATTATTTCTAATTTTTAAATGATTAGTTATTTATATAATTTTTAAGCTTTAATACAAGTAATCTTTATACTTATTAACTAAATTAATATAAATAAAAAGGTTATTTAATAAGTAAATATTTATAAACATGAATTGCAAATTTTAAATACATAGATTAATAAATAATCTTTATACTCACTAACTAAATTAACTCAAATAAAAAGATTATTTAATGAATAAATATTTATAAATATGAATTGCAGATTTTAAATACATACATAGATTAATAAATAATCTTTATATTTACTAACTAAATTATGATAAAATAAAAAGATCATATAATTAGTAAATGTTTATAAATATAAATTACAGATTTTAAATATATAGATTAATAAATAATCTTTATACTCATAAACTAAATTATAATAAAATAAAAAGATTATTTAATAAATTGCTAAATTTTAAGTAACTTGATAATTAATCATAAAACTTACTCTCTAAGATTAAATAGTTTTGAGAATATTTAGATTTCTAATTTAAAATAAATAATTTAATAACAACTAACCTACTTCAAAATCTATTAGAGTATTTATTCTAAATTAAATTCTATACCAATTTCATATCTGTAACAAATAGCAGTATTAAAAATTCTATTAGAATTATTTGCTTCAACTGATTTCTAATAATATATAAATATTTTATACTTGTCTATTTTAATACCAATTTCTGAATAATAATAATAGCCAACTTGATATATTCAGTTAGAATTATTCATATCAGCAGATTTTTTATAATGAATAAATATTTGATTTTCATATTTTTTAACTTCAATTCTATATTTTATAATAATAACTAAGTCAGAATATTCTGTTTAAATTATTCATATCTGCAGATTTAGAACAATCAATAAAATTTAGTTGATTAAGAATACTAGGATGTTCTTAAATACTTTAATCATAGCTAAATTAATAGATCAAAAAATCAGTTTTTAATTAGTAAAAATTAAAAGGTTTGGTAATTTAGTGAAGTGAATAGGTTGTTAGACTACTATACAATAGGTTTGAGATTCAAATCCTATTATTAACAATTTGAATAATTTCTCAAATCTTGTATTCAACTTATAGTAAACTCTGCTCGTTTCTAGAGGTTACAATCCTGTAAATTATATTGTACTAATATTAATTAGATATTAGAAGTGTAACAAAATGTTTAAGTTGTATTATATAAATAAATCAGAATAGAATCTATAGACAGAAGACCTACATAATAGAAATCTTAAGTTAGATAAAGTAGTATAGATTTTGATGATTATACTTGATCTGACAAAGTAGTCTAAGTATAAAGGATACAGATTGAGTAGGTGAAATAAGTTTATTATATGAGATTATATAGCAATACTAACTTGGCTTAGTAGCTAACTAAATTAGAAGGATCTACCTCATGAAACATTCAGAAGAACTAGAGGCCTAACCTAGTAGAGAACCACAGCAAGAACCAGGTTTATACAAATATCAAATAAGAATATATGCAAGCTAAATTGAGATATAATATAGTATAGTTAAATATTATAATACTTATCTATTAGAGAGCATTGAAGTAGAACTTATTTAGATAAAACCTAAGCTCATAATAGTAAAATTTGTGACTAATATCAGCTTGGATGCTTTCTAAAATAAAGTAGCATAGAGTTATAAGTTAACTTAAATAGTATAATAAATTTGAAAGTGATATTGTATCAGAGAGTTTAAATAGATAATCTTTTAACAAATTGCAGGTATGGTAACTAGTGTAGAACCTTCAAGCAAATTATTTAAATTAGACAATCTAAAATTGTATGTGTAGCTAGTTGTACTCTTACAATATATATTATGTTTCTAATATAAAAACTAATAAAAGTTTGGCTGATAGCATTTATATAAAGTAAAAAAAAAAATTAGTAAAAATTATTTTTTGCTTTTTCACTAATTAAAAACTGATCTTCTGATCTATTAATTTAGCTATGATTAAGGTGCTTAAAAACATTCATCATTTTAGTAATATCATATGATGAACTTAATATTTTTTTATTTCATTCTATAAATAAATAAAAAAAAGTCATTAAATATTGAATATCAAGAAAAAATAGTTATTACTATTATCAATTAATTATAGCTATAGTTACTTTAAATATAAAATTAATCTGTTGCAATTACTTTTTTTTGCTAAAATATATTAGTTAATATTATGATATCAGATATTATTACATCAGACTAGTACAGATAAAAAAAATCAAAATATTGATATAATATAAACCTTTATACTAGATATATCTATTGATTACTTAGATAATCTGTAAGTTTATCTGTTGGATAATCTGAGTAATATTTTTTTGATCAGATATAACACTATTTAAAAGAGTTTAAATTATGTAATAAATAAATCTGCAAACAAGTTAACTAGCTTAAATAGTTAGATATAATAATAATATTAGTTTACTATAAAAAATTAGTTAATAATCAGTATTTAAATAGATAATCTATAAGTGAATTACAAGTATAAAAACATAGTATAAAACCAATCAAGTGATTTAATACCAGTATAACAAATAACTTAAATAGACAATAACTAAAGTTGTATGTGTAACTTGTTATACATTCATTATATAATTACAAACCTTAAAAGATTGCCATATGTGTAACTCCGTAATACTAAACTAATAAAATCTAATCAGCCAAGAAGACAATCTTAATATATATATATATATATATATATATCAAATCATTATAAAATTTAGAAGCCTCAATTTAAACATATAGGCTCTACGAAAATCCACCTATACACTTTTCCTAATAATTCTAACCCTAAACCCTAACTTAACTATAAAAAAAAAACCTAACAAAAAAGACTCCAAAAAATTTTAAAAATCAAAGTTAAATTTCATTATGATCTGATTTCATTACGATCTGCTACATTTATTTAAGCGAAAAATAATATGATTTTAATTCTTAATGTCTCGTAATATGAAGTTGTCTCTTTTAAATGATTACAGTTCTCGAAATTTACGCAATAAATTTTTTATGATTTACTGTTATTTTGTTTTCTTAACTAATGTTACAATTCTTCTTAACATAAATTCATAAAATTTATTATATCAAAGTCAATCTCATTCCATATCTCTACTATTCTCTCCCGCAATTTTTATCCTTTTTGTTAGAATATTCTCCCTTTAGACGTCTTTTAATTTCACTCCCAAGGCGTTCAATTGGATTCAAATCTGGAGAATGTGTAGGTCAATCAACAAGTTTCGTTCATTAAGCCATCTTTTGTAAAAAAGAATAACTTTATGAATAGATGCATTATCATGTTGAAAAATCATATCTTCATCAACGACATCTAAGAAACAATCCTCAAGAACTTTAAGATAGCCTCCAGCATTTAAGGTCTCTTCTACTAACTAAAGCTAACATTCATCAAGGCTCATACTATAATACTATCACTATCAAAATTGTTTTGTGAAGATAATACGAGTGTCATTTAATTTCTCATTTGGCTTTCGCCTAAACAAGTTAAAAATTTCGTTTTCAAGTTTGATACAAGACTATATCTTCGTTGTTGGTAGATTTTCTTTTTTTTTTTTTTTTTTGATTTGTCAAGCACTAAATAATAATCATTTGGCGAATCGGATGTTCTATAGAATAGGTGGGCAAACTCCGCTGAATATATTAAAATATTATTGATTACTAATTATTAGCGAAGCTTATTTCTTATATTGCCCATCTATTCTATAGAACATCCGACGAACCATGTGATATTTTTTTGGCGGGCCAAATTATTTTCTAAATCTAAAGTATTTCGTCATAATGAAATAATTTTGCCAAGAGCGGTTACTAACTTAAACAAGTTAGCCAGAATTTGGTTAGATTATGGTTAGATTATGGTTAGTGCCGGCCGATATTGTCGGGGATTTTGCCTGTCGGGATTTCGTCATCGGGAAATTATAACAGCCACAATTTTTTTTCATAATTTGCATCGCATATTGCCGATACTAATTTACTTTTAACACATTTGAATTTCAGTAATATATTCGACTTTTCGACTTTGTTAAGTCTTTTGACTTTCGAAATTTAATTCTTTTTTAAAAGTAAATTAAAATTGATTATAACCGATTGTGAACTGTTACTACCCAACCTATCTCTATTTTGGATTTCAGGATTTCATAATAAATTTGGGTTTCACAAATTATAGTCGAAACTCAAAACCCACCTGATATTATATCACCAATGTTTAAGAGCCATGTCCAAATTTGAAATTGCCTCAATTTGGTGGGCAATTTCCACTATACAATACACGATCAACATTATTATTCTTCAACTTGGAAATTGGACCCGTCGAGAAAATCTACTTGGCAATCCTTCAACTAACGTATCAGTGATTCGTTACAAATTTTATTATCAAAATACCTTACGAATATGTTTGATGACATCATTGATATATGGCCAATTTTGATATTTATGACGATTAACTTCGTCATAGTACATTTTGATTACAATAGAATTTTTTTTATGACCAACAAAATGTAAAAATTCTCGCAAATACTACACTGTAGTTCACTACTTTCGTCAAACAGAATATCCGATATATCATATCTATTATGATTAGAGTATTAATTTAACTTCAATGCGTAGTCCTTGTATTGAATTAAGCGAAATCACTATCATTATAAGTGATAAATTATAACCATTAAGAAAAGCAAGATATTAATTAACCAATAATTGTTTATTTTTGACTTTATGATATTGACAGTTATGACAAATTGTGATTTTTAATTATTTCATATATTTAAATATTTACAAAATGTTTACAATTGGTCTCTCGAAAATCAAATAAAATCAAATCATCCTCAGAACCTTTCCAATTTGCAAGTTCTATTGGACTAAATAATAAATTTTTCAGATAGATTAATAAAAATTCATTGAATTAATATTTTTATACGATAGTAAAATTTTAAAAATTTACCTTAATACCAATATTTCCTATCTTAGCCATTCGCTGTATACCTTCTTTATGATTCGATTTAAAATCTTCACTCGATTTTAAAGACTCAGTAAGGTTTACGCGATTTCTACTAATCTTTGCACGAATATCATGATATCCTTCGGTATCATCCCAATAAGGTGTATGACTATTTTGATCTGGTGGCTCATGATTTTCTGGTAGCTTCGTTGTCGGACCTTAATTCATATAAAAAAAAATTTTTTTTAAGTTACTATCGTTATGATAACCACTATAATAATAATAATAATAATAATAATAATAATTTAATCATAGCGACCATAACAACAATAATATCGTACCTGGCGTAATGACTACAAGACGACCAGTTGATCCTACTTCAGTTTTGCCTATTTGTCCTTGTCTCATTTTTTTGCGTAATTATACGTAATAATATATAATATCAAAGAATTCAAAATCACTTCAAAGAATCAGAAGAAATTCAAATCTTGGAACTTTATTGTGTGAATTTTAGTTCATTATATATATATTATTACATACCAAATATGTACATGTTACATATAGACGTAATAATTACACTATCGCGAGATGTTACCCGATCATAAGATTTATAATCGGGTAACTATAATGATTGCATTCTTAACTAACCTATTAAGGTAGTGTAGGGACCTCAGTGCGATGCGAAATTAGGGTGTTACCTCAACTAATAAAATCAAATATTAGTTAGGGTAACATATGAAGATCATTAATTTCGGAATTTATATTCTTCTAACAAAGATATACAGTATCAAATTTTTTTTTTTAACTTGGAAGCTCTAACCTAGCTCAATACGGTAATAAAGCTATTTTTTTAATAAATTGTTAAAAGACATTTATAAAAATTAATTTAATAGCTAATATACTATAATTATTAAAATTTTAATTATTTTAATAAACTATCTAAAAAAAATAGCTCTATTACCATGTTTAGCTTGTTTAGAGCTTCAAATTAAAAAAAAAATTCGATATATTTTTGTTAGAAATTAGTGCTAAAGAATGTAAATTTAGTTCGATAATTTATTTTTTTTATAGAATTAAAATTTTTAATTATGTAAATTAGTTATTTTATTTAAAAGTTAAAACTAGTTTAAAAATTTCAAGTTTATCACATAAATTTTGTATTATTTTAGAATTTATCACAAATTTATCTAATTAAATTTTAAACCGGTTCTGACTTCTAATTTATACAAATAAATATATTTATTAATAATTAATAGATAGGATTTCACTATACTACAGGTAGTATATTGTACTATATAGAGTGTCGTCAACTAAAAAGGTCTATTTTTACATAATGAGATAATTGAGTTTAAACATTTGTTTTGATTTTCGAACTGATCTGAATTAACCAAATTTTACGATTTTGATTGGTTAAAAGTAACAGGTGACTATCAGATAATTTCATGATATGCTTGGTCTCATATAATTTTTCTTTTACATTATCTCTATTTTTCATTATGCAAATTGACTTTTATTTATAATTAAAAAATGGCAATCATGTCAAAATATACATGAATCTAATAAAAATTTATTTTTTTTAAAAATATAAAAATGGGTTCTTTTAGTTAATGATACTTTATATTATAATACTTTTTAAAAGTAGAAATCTAAAAATTTAAAAAATAAACTATTTTTTTAAATAATATATATTATTTTGTTAAATATTCAATAATATGGATTAATTATTAAAATAGCTTTAACTATTATTTCTAATTTTTTAGAATTTTTTTTTAGTTTAAATATTATAGTTTAAACTAATTTTATCTAGTATCTACTAGTTATCTTATAAAATATTTTTATTTATAAAAAAATCTTTTATTAATAAATTTATTTGAAAAATTTATAAAAATTGTAAAAATAAAGTTTGCTAATTTTAATTATAAAATTTTAATTAATATTAAACAAATATATAAAAAATAATTTAATTTTAAAGCTTTTACTAATAAGTATTATATATAAAATTTATATTAAAAAATAGATATAATTTTTTAAAAATTTAAAGTAATATAACTTAAAATAAACTAATTTAATATTAAAAAATTTTTATAATTAAAATTAAATAGTTATTATTTATAACTTTTATTAAAAAAATTTAAAAATTTATTTAATAAAAAATTTTTTTAACTATAGCTAAAAATTAAAGAGCTTATATAGATTACTAAAAATAGTAATAATTTTTAATTATTTGTTTATAATTTAAATTATATTTTTTTAAACTATATACTATTTAATAACAATCTAACTACTTAACTTTCTAAAATCAAGTCATCTCTAAATAATTATTTTTAATAATATTTTCAAAAACTTCTATATACTCTAATAGATATAAACTCTTTCTACTATGATTTCTACAAACCAAACTCAGAAAATAAATACTTCTTTTGTAATTTTCTTTCAGAAATAATACTAGATAAATAGATCAAAACAATACAAGAACTACTAAACAAAAAAGCTACTAGTCTTTCTAAACTTAATTATAAATATATTAAAATACTTAGTTCTAAAAGTTTTAATACTATTCACTTTTTATATACAGATAGCTTACTTTTAAAAAATTTTGAAGAAGAACAGCAAAGAATGGGATATAGTGTAGTACTAATAGATAAGTAGAATAATATAGTATATAGTCATAAGAGTAGAATAAAAAACTAGTTTTCATCTACTCATACAGAATTAGCAACTATTTGATCACTTTACTAATAGTATCTAATATATGCTAAGTCAAAATCTGAACAGATAGTGTATATGCAATAATATCAATAACAAAAAGTCTTAGAAATGAGAGTACAAGAAAATAGATAAAGCTTAAAAACAATAGTATCTTGTATACTATTTATAAGATATGCAGAAGCAAATAAGTAGAACTAAAGCTAACTAAAGTTAAAGGATACTTAGAAAATATATTTAATGATATAGCTAATAGTATTGTAAGAGAAAGAGTAAAAGAGAACAATATACTAAAAATGAATAATATTAGTATCAAAAATGTTAACTTTATTTTAGAATAGAAAACTTGTAAGCTTAATATACCTCTAAGAACTTTCATTAAATAGCTTGTTCAATTAATATAAAAAGCAGAATATGCCTTTTTAAGAAAGAAAAAAGATAATTAGTATAACAATACTATAATTTCTCTGTAATTTTTCTTTTTCATTATTTTTCTAAGTCTTTTCTTAATAACGTGCTAATAACTATAATTAATTTTGCTATATTTAGCTTATTAGCTTATCAAATATAATAAGGATTAATTTAGCAAATGTAACATAGATAGATAAGCATTAT